TGGCTGGAGCTTCGCCAAGGTGTCCCCAATCATGTGCCAAAATCCCGGAGAATTCCACCGTATACCGGCAAAGCTAGAGCTTCAGGAATCTTACGACCCACCGATGGGTCGTATTGTCCGAAACGGCAGAACACGTACGAACCCACTGGTGAGTCGTATCGTGAATGTGTTAACTGCTAAATGGTTTACTGGAAAGAGTTAAAGGCATTTTTCTCTTGCCAGTTTGCACGGTCTAATACTGTTTAGATGCCTGAAACTCGCAGTGGATGCCAAACTTCGTATACCAATAGGCCTCAATTGTACTAATACAAAAAGATCAGTGTAAAAAGCCAAAACTATTTTGCTATCTTGGTGCTGCAACAATTAATCAGTCTCGGTATATCTGAGCTAAGGCAATTGCGTAACTTTGTCAGTGAACTACTTGACATGCGCGAAAGCAGTTTTGGAATTGACATTTCGAGGCGGTCATTAGTACAGGGCTTATTAAACGCAGTGTCGCTTGCACATCTCCACTTCCGCGCTGGACTCTGCGTCTCTTCCGCGAACGTGCTTTATAATCGATTGATGCCCCACCTTTCCCACGCTCGCTCGTGAAAGTGATCAGAGAGCATGTGCGCGAAAGAGATGCAGAATCCAGCGCGGGAGTGGAGATGCTGATGTAAGCGACACTGCGTTTGATAAGCTCTATATATATTTCGTCGGACAAGAACATTTTGACTCGAATGCTTTAGCTTGTAAGTGAGATAAGCTCGTCGAAATCACATTGCAACTAGTCTTATCTATCTTTTTGTAGACATTGAAAACTAGCCACTTGAAGTGGGGTGTACATGGATAGTGGTCTACCTCAACTTCGTGAGGGTGTCGATCTCTAAAGTCGGTTTGTGCTCTGCCCTCCTCTTCAATCAAAAGATGTTCTAGGCATTCCGTGGGCAGGTAGGAAATTAGCTAGCTCATGATTTTGCTTAATGGCTTTGATAAACTCTAAAGCGCCAGACATTCGAAAACCCGTCACTGCCTCAGAACAATACTAGTGGGAGATAGACTCTTCAAAGTTGCTTTACAAGTGTGGTATCATGACGTAATTCGAGTTTTATGGCTCGCACGCTATTATTGTCTCGTTAGCGGTTTGACAGAGAAAATCTAATTTGTGGCACCCTAGGTAGGTTTATGCATGTACGACCTTGAAGAACATTTTACACCAAAATTCACTGCCGTTCCTTCTCTCGTTTCTAAGGCCTTGACGTCAACAACGAGCAAAAAGATGATGATGTGTCACAAATGTAAAAAATACCTTTATCTCGACTTTACAGTGACCAGTTGCAAATGCGAATTAAAGTGATGGATGAGGCAATCTTTTCCGTTATTTTTCTCACGTGATGTTCGATCGCTTAGGGTGGGCGCGAAACCAGCTAGAGTAGCCTAGTCTCACTCTATGAGACAAAAACCAAAATAAGAAGACTAAGATGGTTTGAACTCGCAATAGTTAGGGTTTCTCAAAAATGCCAGAAGAGTGAGGGTGGCACAGAAAAAATTTTCGCTTTAGTTTGATATACAAACCTTTCGCACTATGTGATGCTGTCCAAAAATGTACAGACACTTTAAACTAGCTACATCTCACTTCGTACTTCAAAGAATAAACCCGAATATTACGGGCAAGTCACAAGCTTATCTCATTTCATGATACTCCACAATCTTGATGTACATAAGTCCCTCATACTACGCTGCAGGACGCGGCGTACTGCTGCTTGCGCGGCTGCATTCGCACTGAAAATATACGCTCATGGCAGCACAGCTTCACTGGTTATGAATGTACCTCTATATTTGCTGCACGTTCGCGTTCTCTGAGGTTTTTCACAGCTATATTTTTGCTGCGACTGCAGCGGCGCACGCCGCAGGACGCTGCGTGCTGCGGCAGGCTGCTGCGTCCTGCGGCGTAGTATGAAGGAACCATGAGAGATTTTAAGAAATTAGCAAAAATGATGTTGCTTAGAACGCAGCGCTTTTTGTTCAACATATTCCCGTCTGACCTGCTTCATGAAGTTTCTCATTTCTGAGGCTGACTGCCATTTTAGATCTTAAAGGCAGCGTTTGGCCAGACATGCAAACTCACAGTACAGATTCGCCCACCCTGATAAAGTTCGCGTCCAAGGGACCTGCACTAATTTGCTTCTGAAGCGAGAAAACCGCTTCAGAAATGGCCATCAAAACTGACACGGCGACTGGGATGAGTTAAACTGACACGCCAGAGCGTGCATATTGCACATAGTCAGGACGTAAGGTCCCACAGCGACTTTGCGTCTTACCTTGGCGGCAGATGTCTCCAATTTCAAAATCAAAACTTTTGTAAAAACGTCTTTGACATTTTCGTGCTCTGCAGGCTGCATTTTCGGAATTAGCGAAAAGGATAGGCTGAGGTAAGCAAAACAAAGCTTCATCCGAAGTTTTGTCCGTATGCTGCCTTCAAGTATGTAGCGAAAGTACTGGAAGCTAGAATTTTTCCGCACTGGAAGTGCTGCATATTTTGGCCAACCTCTTGCCAATTTCCTACTTCTCCTTACGTGGATCAGGTTGCAAAGTATTCTCACGTTACTGGTGTAACTTGCAGATAGTATTACTATTTCTACTTCTATTGACTGCATACTTTGGTCAGCATTGTATGTCATTGGTTGTCCGGAAATTGCAGGTTTTTGTGAGTGCATATTTGAATCAAGTGTTCTCCTGTTAATGTGCTTCTGGCGACCAGCTCAGGGCCCGGCATGAGTCCATTTTTAGGCTTTTAAAAACGAAGTCCCCCTTGACTTTCGCAAAATTTACGAAGTCCTCATTGACCTCAAGCCATCGTGACTTATACTAGGTAGGTCCGAAGATTCGTGCCGTTTTTTAGATCTATTCTAAAATCCTTTAAAAGAAGGTAGACAATCACCCTAAAAAATCTGTGCAGAATTTCTTCCACTTTCCAGCAGCTATGTTTTCCATTGTGACAGCTTCGAGTAGTGGTGAGATAGATAACTGCCGAAACTAAAACCCTTCATTTTTACCATGTCTAACTTTCGCTAGTTTTCAGAATTTTCATTTTAGACTTTTGAAGGTACTCTAATAACCACTTAATAAGGCAAACCTTTTGCAAATTGAGTAAATTTTTGCTTCTATCTGGTATGCTTTTTGGAATTACTAAAATATATTTTCTTAACTGACCAAATATATTTGACTCATTCTAATCTCGCCAAATATCAGACATTGAATAGTTCAGGTACTATTCGATGCATTTTTTGTCGTTTTTCTGATAGCTACCTTTCTTAGCGAAACAGGCGATTTTTACAGACAAAATCGCTGTATTTCTCAATTTTACGGGTGTGCAGTCAAAATTCCAAAATCTATCCAATTCCACGCCGTAATCGCTCATTTACTTCGTAATACTAGTGACAGTGGTGAAAGGGTTTTAGAACTTCAATATTTTGAGGATTTCGCAGTGTTTGTGTGTACTTATGTGCCACGCGACTTTTTCGAAATTCACTGCTCTCGTAAAATAACTCAGCAAAACTGTAAAGAGAAAGCTGAAAAAAGGCAAAACATTGCATTAATTTGAAAAAGGTTTCCCCTATCAAGTGGTCATCAGAGCACCTTCAAAAGTCTAAAACGAAAATTCTGAGAATTAGCGAAAGTTAGAGATGGTAGAAATGAAGGGCTCTAGTTTTCGGCAATTATGTCAGCGCTCGTCGAAGTAGTCACAACGGAAACATAGCTGCTGGAAAGAGGAAATTATGCATCGGATACTTTTTGAAGATTTGCCCATCTTCATTTTGAACGATTTTAGAACAGGTCTAAATAACGACACGAACTTTCGGACCCACCTAATAATAAAGCGCTAAGCGTCTCTCTGTTCGTGTGTGTTTATATATCTGTCTGCCGCGAAATTCATAGAGCGAATTGCAACCAACGTCTCAAGCTAAAATTTTGCACAGTGTACGCTGGCAGTGTCTAGGCTCACCCTGCTTAATGGCTACGATGGATGGATCTTTTGGATCCTTTGAAAATGGCACCTGGAGCGGGTCCACTCGGCTTTTGGCACGCAAAACTGGACAGCCGATTCAAATTTTTGCAATGTCGGGTATTTGTCTGACAAACATACTTGCGATCCATGAATTTTATTCCAAAAAATGCTCTAAAGGTCTGTTCTCCTGCTAAAGCAGCGCCAAAGAAGAATGATTGCGTAAATAGTTGGTGAGTCAAGGTTTCACCCGATAAATTAGAAAGATTCTTGCACAGAGATGTAGCCATTGGGTTTATTATCCTTATGGGAACAATAATATTAAAATAAATTCAGTAATTCATTCAAATTCGCATTTGTTCTTTCTCGGAAAAGTTTTTTTCTTCCACAGTTGATGCCCTTAAGGCGTTACAAAACCTGCATTAATTTCCGAACTATTTAATAGTAGGATATCACAATGAAGCTACTCAACGAAGTTAGCATAGCTTCTGAAACATGGTAATTTAGCTATACACTAAAATTTGAGGCATTGCTTCGCTGATGTAGACGTGATTAATGCAAATGACAATTATCGTCACATGATAATTCGTGAAAAACCCTTGCAACTGCCTCGATTCTTACATTTCATAAATCATTAGCAGAGACGATCTTCATGTTCAGCTTTTCATCGGAAGTTTCATGTATCGCGAATTAAAGAGGGAGAATTTTCTTATATAAGTTATTCAAGGGTAGGATATCTCAATATCGCCATTGCGTATAAATTTTGCTAACTAACAAATTTCCAGTTCCGCACATCAACATCAATTTGAGCAAGAAATTTTTGTTCGTAAAGTCATATGGAATAGTATATACTATCCACTGAATTTGAACTTACGCAGTTCTATACATGTAATAACAATCACATGCTGATTTCCATTACAATCACCTCAAATAATAAATCATTACTAAAAGCAGCGTCTGTAAACGAATGAGGTAACAGTGTCAAGTGTCGTGCCATTTCGTGACTCATAGCTATAAATCTTAATCTTCATGTTTATGAGCATGAATAAAAAAATTATATAAGTCAAGACAATTAAAACTTAGGGTAGCACTCTTAGTAATTTAAATTAAGACCTGTTTGGAAGTGTATTGCACACTCTCTTTTATATCTTCTTAAATCGTAAACATACAATAATTCCGCTGTCCCATGAAAAGCTAACCGACTAGATTGTCACTATTGAAAAGTGTCTGCCAATTTTGTGAGGAAATGGTGCGTTTCAAAAATCTAATCTTTAGGCAGCACAATCAAGCTGGTGCGAAGTTCCTTCAATATATTCACACTTGTGAATTGGAGAGGTGGAGCGTTTGGAGCGGTGTGCGCGACCTTCGCCTCTGTAAAGTAAGCCAATTATAAAGTCTCAGTAATCCTTGATAAAGCTTAGCCGCACTGTGATGACGCTGCTGCACCCGGACCGCCTTGCCCATTATTGGGACCCATAGGGCCTGGTTCACCTTCTGCATCCGGATAGTCTGGACCACCTACTGGCAGAACTGATGCAACCATGCCTGCCATATCCGCTATGCTTCCTATGCCCGATGTTATAGAGTCTTCAAAAAGCTTCTGTAAATAAGAACAGCATAGAATATTGGACCTGGAACTAACCTGCTATGCCCAGCCACATATAAGGGTCATCGTAATCACCACCATAAAAACCTTGATAAATTGTTTTTCGTTATTATCAATTTGTGTCCAAAGTATCGCAGACAAACCATCAACTCACCGCCACCAAAATTGCCACCGCTGCCTCCAAAACCGCCTTCATCTCCAAACTGTCTGCGATCTCCTTCTCTCATGCGGTCAGATGTATGCCTGCAATTGTCTCATTCAAATTTAAAAAGAGTGGTTCGTCTTTTATGCGATAAGGGAAACGTTTTTAATTTCGCTCACAAGAAGCCTGATTTTTCCGCTTTTGTTGCAGAAAAGGAGGGAATACTCTACAACAACCTAGGACGTACTATGACGAATTTATAATCATATGTGCAGTAAATCTCCTCTCTATATATTAGGTTGATGCAAAAGTTCTTTCGCACCAAATTCAAAAATTCATAACTTGTTTAAATCTCAACAGTTTACAAGATCTAAATTTTGTATAAGAGAAGAACTCATGCTGTTTGCATATTTACCTGAATTATTCGTTAATGTGTTGAAGGAAATAGAAGCGCAAAATCAAAACCACTCAAAATCTGAATTTCTCGTGTAGGGTCATAAAAAAATCGGAAACTTACAACAAAAATCGGAGCACTCGGAATTGTGGGTTCTTTCACCAGCGCTTTCTAACTGTGCAAAGTTTGCGCCGATTGAGCGTCTCTATGAAAAGTTACGATTTTCGAGCAAGCAATACAAAAGGGCGAATTCGATTTATTTTGGCATTTTTCAGGGAAATCGTAACTTTTCATAGAGACGTTCAATCAGCACAATCTTTGCACTATTAGAAAGAGCCGGTAAAAGAACCTACAACACCGACTGCTCCAATTTTTGTTGCAAGTTTCCGATTTTTTATGACCCTACACGAAAAATTTAAAATTTGAGTGATTTTGGTTTTGCGCTTTTTTCTCCTTCATTTGTACACGGTTAACGAACAATTCAGGTAAATATGCAAAGAGCATGAGTTCTTCTCTTATACAAAATTTAGATCTTGTAGATACGTTGAGATTTCAACAAGTTATGAATTTTTGAATTTGGTGCGAAAGAACTTTTGCATCAACTTAATATATAATATGAAGCAGAAAATTTGCATGTTTGTGCACATTCCCCGTAGTCACGAAGGAAAAGCGGTGAAACTCATTTTGATCTGCTGGTCATCAAGACATGGTAAGTAGGAAGCGAACTCGGGACTAGTCGGAATAAACAGGAGGAAAAGTTTTTCTACATGAGAGGTCAAGCACATAGACTGGCTCCAAACCGGGGTGGAACCCGGGATGCCAAATCGTATAAATATAGGTAAACTACTTTACTACTACTCATACCTTTACATACCCTCGGCTGAGGAGCTTAAAGGCAGCTTCCAGCCGTCTTCCACGTTTTTATAGTTATTGGGCCTTTCCATGGCGCTGATTGTAGATAAAAGATTCAAATTACCAGAAAGCCCCAAAATTTAGCCTTTATGAAGCCCTGTTTTGGCAAATTAGACGAGTGCTTCTGCGCTAGTCAGGTTGTATGCAACAGGAAACCTCGTCGTATGCAACAGTGCCACATCACAAACTATGCGTCTCGACGTTGCTTGTCATGTCAGAGCATGTCACGAGGCAAGACGTTGGTGAGTGGAGCGCAAAGAAGGTACAGACGATTCATAGCACGCGAAGACTGCGGACTTATCTGCGTCTCACTGATCCAGTGCTCTTTCGTTTCTGTTACCATCTGCTGCTTCTCCCAGGCATGAACTATCTTGGCCGGACGCAACGGCGCCCAGTCTTTGCGTGTCATGAATCGTGTATAGAGGAGCGCAAAGAGGATCTAGGTCATTATCTCCTATTGTAGGCAACATTAGGGAACCGGATCAACGCGGTTGGTCTACTTCAAGGGTTTACTAGTAAGATAAATATAATAGTAAAAATATAATAGTAATCTAGGATGAATAGATTTTGGGTGTACGCTGTCTTTAAAGGCAGCGTACACCCAAAATCTAAGTTACCGAATTTCCTAGATCTTTCTATACCGTGTATATACTGGGCCCAGAAGAAGACCAACTGCGTTGGTCCGGTTTCCCAATGTTGCTTCTGAGCGGAGAAAACCCCCCTCAATTTTCTTTCACTCCGCCCCTTTTCTTTCACTCCGCCTCCTACGGACGAATCCACGACAGCGTAAGCTTCAGTTGCCGTTGCAGTTGCTGTTGCAGTGCTGTTGCATCTGCAACTGCAGTGCAACAGCACTGCAACATGCTGTTGCACTGCAGTTGCGATGCGCCTCCTTCGGGCGACGAACCACGACAGCATATGCAGCAGTTGCAGTTGCATGCAGGCTGTCATGCTGTTGCAGCCGCTGGCATGCCGACGGGGACGAGCAGTTCGAAACTCGTCCGCCCCTGAAGAGAGGGTCCCCGGAAATCGGGGTTTTTTGGGACTTTTGGAGGATTTCAATGACATAACTGTAATCAGCGGCGCGGAAAGGAACCAGAATGACAAAAACATCGAAGGTGAAATTTTGGGTGTACGCTGCCTTTAAAGGCAGCGTACACCCAAAATTTGATTTACCGAATTTCCTAGATCTTTCTACACCGTGTATATACTGGGCCCAGAAGAAGACCAACTGCGTTGGTCCGGTCTCCCAATGTTGCTTCTGAGCGGAGAAAACCCCCCTCAATTTTCTTTCACGCCGCCCCTTTTCTTTCGCTCCGCCTCCTCCGGACGAATCCATCAGCGTAAGCTGCAATTGCAGTTGCAGTTGCTGTTGCAACATCTGTTGCATTTGTTTTGGGTGTACGCTGCCTTTAACATATTCCAAATCTTCTTGAGAGGCCAAAATATGCCTGTCGACCGTCCTAACGCCAAAAGATGGAGTTCATAGTTTTATATTTCCTGCTCTACTAAATTTTATGGTATTACTATTTTTACATTGCGGTGGGTGGATTAGCGTTGGTGCGATTTTTTCCTTCCAATTGACAGTACAGCAGTAACCGGTCTAATGCGGACTATTGCTCACTAGATGGGCATTTCAAGAGTAAAATTGAATTAAATTAACTAAGTCGAGTGTTTCCGCTGTTAAAAACGAGGGTTTCGATCTTCATCACTGTGGAATTACTAAATTTATCTTGGTAAAGAGTGGGAAGAATGTCTCGAAAAAATTCAATTTTGCTGGGCATTTTGTGATGTTCCAACAGATGCTTTCCATGCTAGCAAAGCATGGAAAGCATCTTTCTTTTCCCTTCTCTTACAATTTACGAAAACTTGAAATTGGCATTTCTCTTGCTGTCCCACATAGCGTTTCAGTTGAAATAGGGAAGTTTATATCGAAAGTTTCATCATGTTTTGAGTGAAAAATACTAATGAGAGAATCGCATCTGACTGGAAGCGAGACAGATTTTGAGATGCTACAAATCTTGTCATTGTTAGCACATAGACAAAGCGTTTGAACTGTTCAAAGGATTTTTCAGCATTGTTTTACGTCAGTTATATTGTGACATTTGATTGGAGTGAGTTTCAAGCTGTTGCAAGGAGTTATCTCCAAATATAAAATGCTATTGCAATAAAAATCAGGTACTTCCCTTGAAGCTTCTTAGGATAGCGTCAGAAGTGTCTTTCGACATGAGATAGGTAAAATCCGAAGAAGCTTGGAACGCTTTACCACAGCAGCCTTCTTTAGGTGCAAAACGAGATTAGGTCGGGCCAATTTCAACACCAAATTTCACATTGTTCAGAGCAACCTGTGATTATGGTAATCTCTCGGATACAGAATTACAACAGACACTGGTGAAGTGTTTCTGATTGTTTGAGTCTAAAATACATGGACTTTGATAGTTTTGGCTGTTCTCAGCTTTGTAAGGTTCCCTTAGAATTGACTTTGTTAACAAATGCTATTTTTAAATAGCGTTTCAAGTAGCTTCAGGTGACCTATCTTATGTCAAAAGACCACCCCGACTTCTGACACATCTCGCTTTGCAAACTATAGGAACGGTGCTTAAGCCAATTATGTAGACAATTTCACGAAACGAACCCATCTCGGGAACTATTTGAATGACTTCTTTGGTAACAGACACGCTGGGTTCTGCGAGAACGTAATCAAAAAACTAATGGCAAGGTGGCTGAAAGTTGTGCAAACAAGCCTACACTATTGCAAAATTCCTATGAACTTTTGCCCAGAGACTGCTCATTGACTAGAACAAATCAAGAAGACTACCTACCTCATTCCGTCTTTTCCGCCATTGTTCCAGTTCCTACGATCTTTTCCGTTGAGACCCTGGCCTCCATTGGGAAAGCCTCTGTTGGAAAGGCTGTCTCCACTCGAAAAACGATCACCATTGGAAAAACTACCTCTATCATGGAAACGACCTCCACTGGATGAACCGCCTCCGTTATGGAATTGGCCACCATTGAAAGAACCGCCTCCATTGGTCAGACGACCGCCATTGAAGGAACCGCCTCCACCAGGGAAATGGCCACCGCTGGTGGAACCATCTTTATTGGGTAGGCGAGCGAGATTGGAAGATCCGCCACCATTAGAGAAACGGCTTCCACTCAAAAATCCTCCTCTGTTGGAAGAACCGCCTCCGTTAGGGACTTGACCACCATTGAATGAACCACCTCCACTGGAAAGACGGCCCCTATTGGAAAAACCGCCACCATTAGACAAATGCTCTTCACGGAAAAATCCGCCTTTATTGGATAAACCGCCTCCGTTAATGGGCTGGCCTCCATTGGAAGGACCTCCTGCATTGATTAGACGACCGCCATTGAATGAACCGCCTCTGTTGGTGAATTGACCACCGCCGGGGGAACCACCTCCACTGGGGAAACGATTTCCATTGAGAAAGCCGCCTCCATTAGATAAATGGCCACCGCTGGGGAAACGACCTCCGCTAAAAGATCCGCCTCCATTACCATTGGAACCTCCGTTAGAAAAGTGACCTCCGTTAGGGAAACGGCCTCCGTTGAATGGTCCGCCTCCATTAGAGAAATGTCCACTGGGAATACCTCCTCCATTAGTGAGACGGCCTCCGTTGAAAGGTCCGACCCCATTAGGAGAACGACCACTTGGAAAACCACCTCCATTAGAAAAATGACCTCCGTTGGGAAAGCGGCCCCCACTGGGAAATCGACCCATGCTAGAGAAACTGTTTCCAGCTTCATGACCGAAAGGACGACGTGAATTTTGGAAACCGCCTGCGGCATTCAACCAGGGATTACGGCCTCCGACTCCTAGACCAGAGTGAGGACTTGCCGCGCCTGGTCCTCGAGAATAACGAGTCCCGCCAAAGCCTGCCCCAGGACTACTGTATCCACCTGTTTCAACGAATCTTCTATAACTTGGCGTAGCTCTTCCAAGCTGACCACTGTAATGATTTCCGAAGCTTCCAAATGAATTTCTTCCCACAAAGCTTCTCCGAGCAGCCCCACTGGCACCATAGAAAATTCCTCGACTGGAAGGACTTGCTGCATAATGGTTAGGCCAACGTCGTCCACCGTAACCCGCAACATTGTATCTTCCTGGTCCTCGTCCTAGGCCTGCTCCAAGGAATCTTCCATAACTTGGCGCAAATCTTCCAAACTGACCGTGGTAACGATTTCCAAAGCCTCCAAATGAATTTCTTCCCACAAAGCTTCTCCGAGCAGCCCCACTGGCACCAAAGATTCGGCTACGACCTCCACCGAACAAGCCTCTTGTCGGATATCCAAAGGCTCTTCTGGATCCCCAACTAAATCCTCTTCTTCCAAAACCTCCAACTCTTCCAATGCGACCAAATCCTCCTCGAAATCCTCGAAATCCTCCCCTTCTAGCCTCGCACACTAGCACTTCTGAAGTATTCTTTTCTTACTGTTCGCTTCGAAATGACCTTGAATCAAAGAAACTCTTACGCAGGAGAAGAAATGATAGAATAGAGGTTGGCAGGAGCAGCATCAAAGTGAGCGCGCATGAACGCTAGTGTTGTCGACCGGTATTGGCTGATACCGACATCACCGATAGAGTACAGTGATGCGTTCAGAAATGTACATAAGAACTCTGACATACTTCGATCAAAGTGTTGTAAGAAGCGCTCCGGAAATTTCATCCTATATATTTTGTCTCACGTGATCATACATGATAAATTAAGTTGCGTATAGAACGAAGGGGTTGTGTATAGAAAAAAGCTGCGATATTATGTTCCCTGAGCCTGACTGTGTTTATGTTCATTGTATTAAGCATATTGTTTTACGCGAGGAAAAACTTTAAATTAGATTGTTACATAAGTTTTGTTACACTTTAACTTCTCACGGCCATCAGTCATACTGTTTACATTTTCAATAGGGCCGAGGGTACCATTCGATAGAGCAAAGCAAGTTCCACGAAGTTATGCAAAAGTCTGCAACAACTTACCCACTGCAAGTATCCAAAAACTGAGTCTACTGAAGGCTCAAAAAATTGCGAAAAATTCATATTTTCGTTCAAAAAACCTTACGACCAATTTGCTCACAAGAATTGCACATTACATCGACGCTCATATGTACCACTAGCTGGCTTACCCGGCTCCGCCGTATGTTCCAATTAGAAAATTCCATTTCTTAACCGATCCGGACCAAACTTGACACACATACACTTCGGGCCCCGGCGGGTGTCACAGTCCACTTTTCGCTATCGATCGATGTCGATTTTATCGATTTTTTGCAAAATTTGAGCTACGGGGCTGAAATTTGGCAGGGAGGTGTAATCGAGCATGCTGATCACCCCCACGGGGGTGATCAGCATGCTCGATTACCCCCCTGTGCCAACTCCCAGCCCCGTAGCTCAAATTTTGCAAAAAATCGATAAAATCGATATCGATCGATGACGAAAAGTAGCCTATGACACCCGCCGGGGCCCAAAGTGTATGTGTGCCAAGTTTGGTCCCGATCGGTTCAGAAATGGAATTTTCTATTCGGAACATACGTACAGACAGACATACAGACAGACAAACAGACATTCAGCTTCATATATAAGATTTTTATATTTTTCTTTATCTAGAGAGAAAATGAGAAAACGAAAATTTTTATGTTTTTAAACCGAGCTCTGCTGTTTCCATTCATGTAGTTCTATACTACGAGCCCTGAGGAGTATAACTGACACCTGTAAGATTTTCAGCGTTCCATACGACCTAACTTTCGAAATTTAACGAATTCAGCTCCCCCCACTCAGGTGTTCCATGATAAAATCAATATTTCTCGAAAACTAGGGCTCGTATAAAGCAAAAATTTATGATTACTAGCTGGCTTACCCGGCTCCGCCGTATCCGAACCAAACTTGGCACACATACACTTCGGGCCCCGGCGGGTGTCACAGTCCACTTTTCGTTATCGATCGATGTCGATTTTACCGATTTTTATCGATTTTTTTGCAGAGTTCACCTACAGGGCTAGGAGTTGGCACAGGGGGGAAGTGAGCATGGGGATTCCGAATACAATATTAGTTTTCAGAATTATCGATTGCTTTTATTGATTTTATCGATTTTTTGGCAGAGTTCACCTACAGGGCTAGGAGTTGGCACAGGGGGGAAGTGAGCATGGGGATTCCGAATACAATATTAGTTTTCAGGATCGTCCATTACTTTTATCGATTTTATCGATTTTTTTGCAAAGTTTGACCTGCGGGGCTGGGAGTTTGCACAGAGGGTAATCGAGCATGCAGATTACGAATACAATATTACTTTTCAAGATCGTCCATTACTTTTATCGATTTTATCGATTTTTTGAAAATTTGAGCTAGGGGGCTGGAATTTGGCACAGGGGTGTTCGAGCATGCTGATCACCCCCCTTGGGGATGATCAGCATGCTCGATTACCCCCCTGTGCCAACTCCCAGCCCCCTAGCTCAAACTTTGCAAAAAATCGATAAAATCGATAAAAGTAATCGATAATCCTGAAAACCAATATTGTATTCGAAATCCCCATGCTCGATTACCCCCCTGTGCGAACTCCCAGCCCCGTAGCTCAAACTTTGCAAAAAAATCGATAAAATCGATAAAAGTAATCGATAACCCTGAAAACCAATATTGTATTCGGAATCCCCATGCTCGATTACCCCCCTGTGCCAACTCCCAGCCCCGTAGCTCAAACTTTGCAAAAAAATCGATAAAATCGATAAAAGTAATCGATAATCCTGAAAACCAATATTGTATTCGGAATCCCCATGCTCGATTACCCCCCTGTGCCAACTCCCAGCCCCGTAGGTGAACTCAGCAAAAAAATCGATAAAAATCGATAAAATCGATATCGATCGATGACGAAAAGTAGCCTATGACACCCGCCGGGGCCCGTAGTGTATGTGTGCCAAGTTTGGTCCGGATCGGTTCAGAAATGGAATTTTCTATTCGGAACATACGTACACACAGACATACAGACAGACATACAGACAGACATACAGACAAACAGACATTCAGCTTTATATATAAGATACAAGGGATTGTAGTGTACAGTTACATGGGTGGAAACAGCATAGCTGCGATTTCATATAAACATGAAAATTTTCGTCTTCTCATTTTCTGTATGAAAAATAAATACAGAAATGGTACGCATGAGTGTCTGATATGTATGTGCGATTTTTGTGAGCAAGTTGGAAATTTTTAGGATTCTTTTGAGCGAAGATACGAATTTTTCGCAATTTTTTGAGTCTTTATTAAACTCAGATTTTGGATACAAACTCTTACAGTGGGACGGAGTTGGTGCAAACTTTTGCACATTATCTTGTAGAGCTTGTTTTGCTCTATCAAAAGGTGTTCTGAATCCTTATTGAAAATGTGAACTGACTTATCGACTGCGGGTGGTGCAGCGTCGTAGGAAGATAAAGTGTAATAAGTGCTATGTTACGGCCCAAAACTAATCTAAAAGATCCAGCACAGATCCAGCTCAGCGCGCTCGAACTGTGCCGAAACTGTGCTGCATGTGCTGGTCCATCCACATGCGGTATGAGCAGCAAAAAATAGCACTTTGTCTCATTCTTGTACTAGCTTCCTCTTGTAATGAAAAACTTGGGGAGGGGGAGCTTGAGAATAAACGCTATTTCGTGCTTTACGTAAAACTACAAGAAACCACTTCATTTTTTCCTTGTATAGTGCTCGAAATTCAGGGTTTTCCAGCGGAAATGGTAGTCAAAAACGAACAAAAGCAGTATGATTATGAAAATAAATAGGGGCTGCAGCACCACAAAACTCAATCTCGTCAAAGTACACGAAAAAATTCGCAATTTTCGCTTTTGTGACGGTGATATATTGCTTGAAACAGCTGGCTAATTTAAGAATGCAGTAACTTCATGGACATAAACATAATTGTTTTCCGACATATACTTTGTGGAAGAGAACTGCGAAAGCGAGAAGTAGTATTTCCCGCCGCTCGATACCGAAAGCAGGCACCTGCAGTGCATGCGGCACAGTTCAGGCACATTCGTTAGGCTCCGCCAAGTTGCCAAAGCCAAGCCGTGCTGCGCCGGCGCCGAGCCAGCGCCGAGCTGTCCTGGCCCCGTTTCGATACATACACGTGCATTTCGTTGGAGCGGGGCTAGCTGACCCTGTCCGGCAAAGGGCTATCGGAGCTTTCGACAGAGATTTCGATCAATAGTCGGTGCATTTATCTGGCTGAAAACTAGGTCAACTAGCCCCGCCTCAAACGAAATCCACATGTATCGATCGAAACAGTGCCTGGGCGCTCGGCGCTAGCTCGGCGCTGGCTCAACGCCGGCGCAGCGTTGGCGTGGCTTCGGCATTCTAACGGGAGCCTTACAGTTCCTTACAGAGCGCAGTGCTGGAACTATGCCAGAAGTTCCGCATCAGTATGAATGCAGGCTTAGTTAAGCGGAATGTGATATAACATAATTCGTAAGTCATAGGAGATAAACAAACATTGAGATTTATAAATTGATAGAATTGATGTTATTTCAAAGTTCCGGTGACTATGTACAAAATTGGCTTGAATCCGTTCACGAATCAAACTCTCTATACACACATACATAGAGACATACGCGCGTACTGACATTACAACAGATAGACAGTTAATCTTCCTTTTAAGGCATGTCCAAAGGAAGTTCAAGGTTTGCAAAAGAATGATAGATAATGTCCGTCAATCACAAAGCTGATTGTGAGAAGGGGCACGAGTAATGCCGGAATAAGAAAATCACACCAAAAGCCGAGAATTATCCTGCATCCTTTAAGGGTTTCAAAGCGACATGCTTCCCTCCTGCCTCAAACTTAAGGATCAAATTGGTCCTCTTTCTAAGGTCTTTGGAAAATTAAAATGGAGACGCAGAGCATAAATTATTGAAGATATTACTTCTTCTTTTATGATCAAAATCAGATTCACAGTCTGATATGAAGAAAAAGTAGAATTTTGCTGTCAAGTTCCCATAACACAGGCTTGTTTGATTGTTGGTGTCAGCGCGCAATCATTTCCAGTTTCCATGTAATCCCTTTTTCTGTAGTTCTACGTTGCTATACTCTTTTCTTTAGCCTGTCACGTAACACTTGTTGACCAGTAGATGGCAAATGGAGTTTAGCTCGTGTAAGAGCAAAATTAGCAGATGGCGGTTATTAAAACAAAAGTTTTTCCATATTAACTTATACGATAGATGTAACAAAGAAAGGAACGGAAAAAAGTTGCTGGGGTTTGATGCAGGGCCCGGCACGAGGTGGGAAAACGGGGTTTTCCAGAACGAATTCCCCTTTGATCCCAATAAATTTTACGAATACCCTCTTGAGCCCAAAAATGACGTTTTGTGCTTGTGCGACGAGATTACCGGCCACACTTCGCCTAAAAGCGCTCAAAAGCGCCCAAATTGCTCAAATTCCTCAAATTACTCCTCAGCTGTATCAAGATAGGAAACAGGAAGAAAAATAAGCAAGAAAAATGATTAAGGAATGAGAAAATATCAAAGAAACGCAGTCATAGGAATGAGAGACGCCGTTCCCGCGCGTATCGATTGACTGGGGCGCGCTTTCCGTCTTAGAAAGCTAGGCTGCTGATGCGGTTTTGGGCTCTAACAAGGACAAGAGGAGGAGCTTCGGAACCAAAATTCCACCATGTAGTAAACTTTAGGTGTACAACAGATTTATGTAAAAATTTTGAAAAAATTATGTGAATTGAGAGTTTTGCCGACCTCAGGTGGGAATTAGGTCGGCAAATGCCGACCTAATTTGGAAATTAGTTAAGGAAACTCTTCATTCACATAAGTTTTTCATAATATTTCATACTTTATTACTTAGCCCTATTGCGCATATACACACCGAATCCCGCGCGATTTCGTTACCTCTGCGTTGCAAACGAGCCATTTTTTCATTTCTTTGGTAGCGCAAAATTTTCAGATAAAAGTTTGCCACAACCTTCAGTCACATAATTTTTCAATGAAACTCCTCAGTTAAGCCCTCAAGCCCGTGTGCATTTACTTACCAAGTTTCATACCATATCGCTCATCTGCGCGTTTAAACGAGCCGTTTGAATTCACATCTTCATTTACCAGTTTTGCGAAATTCTCGGAAAAAATGCTAATTACTCGTTCCGTTCACATAAGTTTTTCATAATTTTTCATACCATGTTTCCACTAGCCTCTCTCCGTTCGCTTACAAAATTTGGTGTCATATCGTTACACATACATTGAGAACTAGTCATGTATGCTGTTACAAATAGCATCGCTTGGGCGACGTCGCGCCTGCGGCAATTAGCGACGGCGCGGTTTGACGCGCGCGAACTCCAGTGTTCGCCTGTTGAGGCACATAACATGTCAAGATAAGTAGCGAGCATTAACTACCAATTTTTTTCCGGGGCTCCGCCCCGGACCCGGCAAAAACGACTTTCCCTTTGCTTTTTGGCTCCAAAACGATTTCCAGCTTGTCATTTGCCGACCTCGTGCCGGGCCCTGGTTTGATGAGACTCACGCTTATTCGGGGTTGGGTTTTGTACGGCCGCATAAGAATCATCTTCGAATAATATAAGATTGAACGGAAAGTTCTGCTGCTTCAGACAGGATTTCGTAACTGCTCCCTATGTTGACGTATTTGCTCTGAATAAATTTTTCCAGAAAAATAATCTACTTTGTAAAGACATCTTCCTTTTCTACAGAAAGGGACTCCAGAAATAATTCGAATATAAGAACTAGGAACCACTTGAACTCTCGATAACTTAATAAATCACCAGAAAATCGAAAAACTGTAATTATAGAGCATGTTTTCTGTAATCCACGTAAGCTGCCCTTTCTGACAGCGAGAAGTTTTTGTTGATAGAATTTTTCCTTTCCCTGCACTGTCATGATTTTCGAAAAAAAGAGCCAAAAACGGCAGATTTAATTCTTGGCGTTTTCTCGAAAATCATAATTAACCACAAAAAGCTCGTTCAATATAACTTGCTTAGATTGTAGGAAACTTGTTCTCAGATTTTTCTGCAGCGTTGTAGATTTTTGACGATTTTTTAAAGTTTCAAAAGCTCGAATAATTTTTCTTCGAATTCTTATCTTTGGCGCCTCCTGTCGTCAAAGAGCCGACCAAAGAGAAAAAAAATTAGATGATCATTTGTTTGGGGTGAAAAATCTGAGCAAATAGGCTTACAAAGAAGCAGCTACTAATTTTCGAAATTTGAAACGACAGATCAACCATGTACGAAAATCTGAACTCTTTTAGTGTCCATTACTTTTTCTCGAAAGGGCATTTCAGATTTTTTTTTTGGAGAATCGCATTATAACGCTTCCCTAACCTCTCTCCTGGTGTAATGTACAAACTAGAAAAACAACTTTATCGTTGCTGAAAAAATCAAAACATTGTGCCAATGCAAAAGGCCTAATTGTTAAACCAGAGTTTTGGACAGCGTTTAATACTCTTAAAAGAAAGTGGACCGCACTGAAAGTTGAGAATGATCATACTGATAATTTGTTGAAGAATGACATTTTTCAACTCTCCAAGCAAGAAGAAATGCACTTCCTGTTCAGAATCTAATGCGGTGTAAAAGAAACCAGGGAGGATAAGAAGGATAAGACTAACCACTATTGCTCTCGAGCAACTAAAGAAATTAAAGAGAATGAAGTGTTTTATCACTAGTTTCAGGTAGGGGACACATATCTGCGTCATTTGAGATCCATAGATTATCATCCGTTATTAGTATATCTTGTGAGGTTAGGAAATTATCACACGAAGCTCAAGTTTAGCCAACGCATCGATTGTACTGATACGATGTTCCTCCAGGACATTCACACTTATAGACTGGAGTGCCGTTTGCAGCTCTGTACGCGAACGTAGCGACTGCAAAATAATCCGAATATGGAAGGCTCCCATTGTTCCTCGATAACGCTTAGCTTACCGCATTGTGATGTACCCAAATCGCCTTGTTCACCCTCCAGAACCGGAGCGTCTGGTACATCTTCCGCGCCCAGATCGTCTGGTCCACCTACCGGTAAGAGCGATGCAGCCGCGTCTACCACACCCGATGCTGCCGATATCGCTCCTCCTAAAATTTATTTTTAACGCGAGTAGTTGAAAGCGTCTGAACAAACCCGCTATGTTGGTGCCGATGTAATCACCGTAATCCATGCGGCCTAAAAAACTCTATATAGTTGACGCCAAATATATAAGACAAGCAATCGACTTATCCATACCGCCGAAACCGCGGCCTCCACCTTCAAATTGTCCTTGCTCTCGTTCTCTCATTCGTCGATCAGATGGATGCCTGCAAGGGTACGTTGTTTCCTGTTCATAAAAGAGGTGTTGTGATTGGTGTTTTACGATGGATGTGCCTTGATTAGTCATTTACCCAATTATAGGTTCGCTCTGTCCAGGCCTCTACGATAGAAGTACGCCGGTATTTTCAACCAAAATGAATACTTCCTAATTTCTGGCTTTGAAAAAACGTTCACGGTCTATCATGAGTGTCTCAACGGCTTCCATGACGAGAACGATACACCGATGCACTTTCGCTTTTTTATATATAAGACGCTCAAAAATGTATTGTTGCAGCGGTCATTGCTTTGTTGAGAAATAGCCTACATCATAGATTTAATAAATTGAGCATCAACAAAAAAAACACTGTAAATTATATCTCACTCTCTTCCTTGACATCCCGGTCATAACCGGTTCAATTAAGAACAACTGCAATGATTGCTGACGTCATTGCCCGGTCACTTCATAAAAACTTTACTTGCTAGAAGAGACAAACGTTTTTGATATTTACGGATAGTTCTGTTATCAGCAGCAAAATCACACCTTTCAATCATAAACCGTGATCAAATAGTGACTTAGTAGAAATATGTTTGTTGGGCAGGTTTTAAATATTTCAGCATTACTCCGTGCTGACGACATGCTTTCTTCTTTGTCAGCAAACTTTGAAAAAATTCCAAAACAATTAACAGAAAATTGGCACTTTGTGACTTAGAAATATGTTAGAAGTATGCAAGTTGACAACAAAGATTTGTTGTTTCAACATGCCCTGAATCAAAAATATTTTATTTTATATCTATGACACACATCGGGTGCGATCTCAAGAGGAAGAGCAAAGCAGAACAGCGATAGCGGAAAACTGTTTGTCAAGCGAATACGAAGAAAACCTGGATAAGCACCAAATTTTCTCAAATTTAGATAAATTTTTCAACATGCTAAGCGCTAACGCTCGCCCCAAAAGGCTATGGTAGGTACAATAGAGATGTGGACGAGTAGGAAAACTGATCTTTAATAACTCAACTGAGAAAGTCCCACCTCATATCGCTTCTTCCATTATTCCAATTTCTAGAATCTCTCCCATTGAAGCCATGGTTGGAAAGCTGGCGGAATTGGCCATTAGGGGAACGGCCTCTATTGGTAAAACTATTTCCGTTTGGGGAATGACTTTGGCCAAAGTTTGCTCCTAGATATCTTCTGTAACTTGTTGCAAAATTATTTCCTTGTTCTCCAATGTGGCCGAGGTTACGATTTCCAAATCCATTTCTTGCAAGGAATCTGCTGTAACTCGAAGCAAAATTGCTGCCATGAGCCATTCCAGTGTGGCCAAGGTTACGATTTCCAAATCCATTTCTTCCAAGGAATCTGCTATAACTGGAAGCAAAATTTCTACCATGTCCCATTCCACTGTGGCCAAGGTTACGATTTCCGAATCCGTTCCTTCCAAGGAACCTGCTATAACTGGAAGCAAAATTTCTACCGTGTCCCATTCCATTGTGGCCAAAGTTACGATTTCCAAATCCATTTCTTCCAAGAAATCTGCTGTAACTTGGAGCAAAGTTTCTACCGCGTCCCAAGCCGAATCGGCCGAAGTTACGATTTCCAAATCCATTTCTCCCAAGGAATCTGCTGTAACTTGGAGCAATTCTACCGCGTCCCAAGCCGAATCGGCCGAAGTTACGATTTCCAAATCCATTTCTCCCAAGGAATCTGCTGTAACTTGAAGCAATTCTACCGCGTCCCAAGCCGAAGCGGCCGAAGTTACGATTTCCAAATCCATTTCTCCCAAGGAATCTGCTGTAGCTTGGAGCAATTCTACCGCGTCCCAAGCCGAATCGGCCGAAGTTACGATTTCCAAATCCATTTCTCCCAAGGAATCTGCTGTAACTTGGAGCAATTCTACCGCGTCCCAAGCCGAAGCGGCCGAAGTTACGATTTCCAAATCCATTTCTCCCAAGGAATCTGCTGTAGCTTGGAGCAATTCTACCGCGTCCCAAGCCGAAGCGGCCAAAGTTACGATTCCCGAAACCTCGGAATGAATTTCCTCCAAGAAATCTTCTATAACTCGGAGCGAGACCACGATAACGATTGCCGAACCCACGAAGTGAATTTCTTCCAAAGAATCCTCTTTGAGCGCCTCCAAAGCGACCAAATAAGCCTCTTGTAGGATATCCTAGAAAGGGTCTCCCAAACCCTCGGCCAAATCCTCCTCTTCCAAATCCCCCAATGCTTCCCATTCTACCAAATCCTCCTCTTCCAAATCCTCCAATTCTTCCAACTCGGCCGATTCCTCCTCGATATCCTCCAAGTACATTTCTTCTAGCCTCACATAGTAGTACTTCTAAAAAGTGCGGACTGAGACATTCTACAAATTGAGTTACAGAAGCTCTTACGCAAGAAGAGGAAGAATAGAACGGGGGAAGGTAGGAGCAACATCAAACTGAGCGTGCATCAATCGCTAATGGTGACGGTGACTGGTATTCGCTGTTTAAGGAATTATCGCTAGCGAACAGTGATGCATTCTAAAAATGCGAGCAAAAACTCAGACAATGTTCGTCAGAGGTTGTGTAAACCATTTGAAAACTTACGAGATTTAATTGCTTTGGGAAAATCAAAAATCTTCGTTTCGCCTGTTCAAAATTCGCAGTTTTCTGCAATTTCGTCCGGCAAATTGCTAAATCTTTCCTTAGAATGAGGTACTCCAAGGAACTTCGTGCATAATGTAGCGATTTCAAAATCTTAGCTAATTCACAGAGCCATTATACAAATGTGGTAATTATAAGATTTCTAGTACTTTGTCGTCTTACCTCATGGCTCTCAAGGTTTAAGGGAATAGGAACGGTCGCATTTGGTGATAGTACATGTACTTTTCACAGTTAACACTAAACAGTTCCAAATATCGCTAAAACTTCCTTTTCAAAAACATCATTGGCAAGAAATCAAATGTACAGCCATAAAGTTCCCCAAACTCAGTGATTGCGGTGTAAATGCGCTCACAGTTCCAGTTCTATGATATTCTGTTCTTTATTGACAAATTATTGCTGCGTTCTTTTCTCCCTAGCCTGTCAAAGTACACTTAGTTGACTAGCAGACTGCAGAAGAACCCTAGCAACGGTTACTTGACAGTAATTGTCGATTTAAATGTAAAAAAAGCATGCGAGTAAAGCCACGATTAAGTAACGGTTCTTGATTACAGAGTTCTATGTCCGTGTTATACATAATCTTTTTCCATTTCTCGAATGTATCGATAGATCTTGAAATTGACTGAAATTACCTCTACATTTGAAGCAGTGTGTCGTTTCATGTATGATGCTTGTAGACAGCGTTGCGCGCAGACGTAGACGAGGTGAAACTTTGCACAGAGGTTTACTGGAAAAGGATAAGGTTATCATGAGCCTATTTGCCTTCTAGCGATTTACTGATTTTGGCGCTTGCAAGGAAGTGAATTTATATTTTTGCTAGTAAACATCTTCGCATCCTATGAACATTGTCGGCATAGCCCATTTCGCGGCGAGGAGAGTGGCTCAATTTGTACCTGGCGCGTAAGCTTGCTCCGGTAAGAGGAGAGTTTATTATGGAGAGAGAGAGAGAGAGAGAGAGAGAGAGAGAGAGAGATCCGCTTGATCCAATCGCGCAGTTGATCAGGCACCGGACTTACCAAGTTTGTAAAAGGCAGCGTCTAGGCAAATCTGGACATATGGGGATCTTACGTGGAAAGTAATTTTGGGAACCTAACTAGACAATGCCCAACAGGCAGCTCAGATGGGGCTTTAACGGCTGAGATATTTGCCTCCAAACTCGACCCCAAGACCGTAATTCGCATGGATTCATGGCGCGACACATCAGTTTTGCTCAGATCCTCTCGCGAAAGCATGCAAACACGATGCAAGTTGTCCGATTATACGATCCTGGGTTCTTTGGAAGCGTATATCTCAGCCGTTAGTGAGTCTTCTAACAAGCATAATGAATACCATTTTCGTAATATGTCAAACAACTTCTGTGGGTCAAGTTTCAGTAATTCTGAGGCTTACAGACATTGAACCACACAAGAGGGATGGTCACCTTCGAAACGATTGACTTTATTTTATGAGCTAATAACCTCTTTTGCATTCGATGCAAAGCACTACTCCTTCTTTGCTTACATGAAGAATCAGAGCTTGTGGCGGCTCGGTGGGCCCTAAGCACCTAGATCCAATCCGAGGCCCGATGCTCGCCCGATACTAAACGACGTACCTAGCCTACTGCGCACGAACGCGCGACAGTACAGAACATAAAATTAATTAAGTGGTTTATCCTTATGACACTAAACTACAGCTAAAATAAATGAAAAAGAAAACTACACTAAAGCAAAACAAATTACTACTAGTTAAACACGGGACGAGGGCCCGTCCCATGCTACCGATGCGCGTCCATAAATGATCTCAAAAATGCATGTGGCTCGCGAGGGTTAACGCAACAAATCCACCGCGCAACGCCAAGGTTCTTAGACTATGGCACGTCCCCTCCAGCTCCTGTAGATGATTTCCGCTTAGTACTAGGCGCGTTGACTTGCGCTAACAAGAAGAAATCCGTTTTCCAATCCAAGAACTTCCGGCTCAACTGCTCTTACGAAAAAGGACAGGAGCATAGCGGCTGAAATGATATTTCGAAACGATATTCAAAATCAATCAATAAGACGAAGACGAACAAAGGCACCCAACTGAGGCGCCGCCGCCTTATATAGCCGCCTGGCTGGCAACGAGCCAGTTAAGGAGAGGTCCGGAAGCGATCGCGGCAGCACGCGTCGCGGCTGCCGAAATCGTCGCCGGATAGCGCGGTAACCGATGCCCCCGGCCTCCGTACTTCGAGGAGCGCCTTGCATCGCGAGACGCGACACCAGCTTAGTACATACGACGCAACCTACCCTACTACTTGCCTTACGCGCGTAAAGACAAAGAATAAATATTAAGGCATTTATCCTTATGACATCAAAGGACAATAAAAAGCTACAGAAAAACTTACAACTAAACTACGGAGAAAACTACTAAAGTCGAAACTAAAATACTAAACAACAATAAGCTCAACACGGGACGAGTTGCCCCATACCGTGCTACCGATGCGCACGACTATAAACACAAACAAGAAATATGCTCCCGAGGCTTCACCTATACAGATCCGCCACGAGTCGCCGGATACCAAACGCAACAGCCTCTCCGCTCCCAAAGGTTTATAATATGTAAATGTCCCAAATCTCAAAAACTCCAGAAAAATGGCGCGTCCAGAAGGATTCCCAAATCAAGCTCGAATTCCAGATTAGTAGAACTTCCGATCCGCTCGACTGCTAACGCAAAAGAGACATCAAAGGCGGGAGCTAATTGCCAGCACGAGCACAATGGAAAACATATGAAAAGATTATCGATCGAAAACGAAAGCGAACAGACGCCGCAATGAGGCGCCGCCGCTATTTATAGCCTTTTGGCTGGCAATGCGCCAAGGCGAGGAGAGGTCCAGCGGCGATTGCGGCGAACGTAAGAAAGTGCCGTTATCGTCGCCGTGTAGCGCGGCGGCAACCAGTGCTCCCGGCCTCCTAATTCTAGGAGCGCTCGCATCGCGGAGCCGCGACAGAGCTCAAGTAACCGCCAAACTATGGAATTAGAAGCCAGCAGGAACTCGTTTGTTTCATTTTAGCTCTCACTGGTAGTGCTTTGCAGCAATTACAGACTAGAGAAAACTAGGCTCAAACCACTCCTGTGAAAACCATGAGACCTAAGTTATCGAGTATGAATACACTCCGCCTTCGCTCGCAAAATACGTAGTAGCACAGTAGCATACTATGTAACTCGATATTTGCCATGAACATAGAATGAACATAGGTTTCGTGAAACGACTACATCTTCGTCCAGGAGTAACAATTTCGGACAAGATCCCTACTGTAAAGAGATGAAGATTTAGCGGTCTCAGCGATATAAAAATCTAGATGTACCGCTGCTTGAAGGTTAATGAATGGAGTGTGACATAACCCCCAAAAAAGTTGTGGCTGCCGCAGCTCCTTTGGTGATTGTGCCACACCTCATGAACTTACCTTCAAGGGAACTTCTAGTAAACTATATATACATGTTTCGATAGCACAAACCTAGTATTTTCATAGCAGTAATTTGCGACTGATCTATTTTCTTTCAACTAATTGTATGTTGCTAAAATCACAATTGCTGAAAGCGAACAGAATTACATGCCTAATGACACTTTTATTACTCCTCACCATACATCGTTGTGCTTGCTTTTATTTTGAAAAACTTCATTACATGCTAAAAATAAGTATCCATTCAGGTTCAAGGGGATAAATTGAACATACTTCTGTACAATGTTCAATATAGATATAGGAGGAATGTTACTAAAATGAGGTCTGATAATGCCAATACTGTTAAAACAATTTGAAGACTGAAGAGTCTTCTGAGCAAGAGCCAATGCAGGCTCAGTTTACAATACTACAAGTAGAGTTTTCTTCACGCTATGTAGAGTAACTAATCAACTAAAATTCCTAATGTAACAAAGAAGTTGGTTTATGGAGACGTGTGAGATGTCCCTCACATTCTCAGGTAGGTGGCACACATCTATAGTACTGATATGAGGTCGATCCGGAACAGTCGCACTTGTATACAGCAGCGCCATTAGAGGCAGTGTAAGCAAACTCCGCCGCTGCAATGAGCTCATTAAATTAGAATCTGAGAATCCGAAACAAAAATAGCTTACTGCAAGATTGTGACTGCGTATTTTGTTGGCTTTGTTGGCTCTGTGCCTGTGTATACTGCGTTGTCTGTTGACTTTGCGCTTCTTGCATCTGCATCGCTTTTGCTTCGACGACCTGTGCAGCGGCTCCCACCACTTCTGCTGTTCCAGAAAACACCGATTCTTAAAAACATTTTATAATAACACAGTTGCAGAACGTGTGGCTCAACAAACGAACGTAGTATATCCAAAGTGAGATAGTCTGAGAAAATATCACCACCGTAATCGTAGTCGCCGTAGGAATCTGAATAAGGATTTTTGTTCTCAAAAGTTTAGAAGTACATTTTTGTCAAGCATGTTAACCACTTTTGAAAGAAAGATTGAAAACTCACTGGCTCTATTATAACTTGAGGATCCCTGCCCACTTCCACTTCCTTTTCCTCCTCCTTCTGAGTTCTGAGGATTGCTTTTCCTTGTATTCGCTCTATTTTCGGATGTATCTGAGCTCTGAGATTTGCTTGCCTTTGTATTTGCTGGATTTTCGAATGTTGCTGAGATCTCAGAATCGCTTGCTTCCGTGTTTGGTATTCCTAGTAATGCCAAGTTTTGAGGATTGCTTGTTTCTGTGATTCCCATCACCTTAGGAGTTGCGGTTATTTGAGAGCTTGTTCCTGGGCTTTCTGCTGCTTCAGATGTTGGAGCTTCTGGGTTAGCGGGAAGTGCATTCAATGTTGGACTTGCTCCTATTAGTTCTGCTGCAGGGTTTACCGAAAGGGCGCTTGCCAAAGCACTTCCTGTACTTTCTAGTCTTAGGATATCCGCGGACTCACCTGCCGCTGTAACTGTTTGACTTTTTTGCTTTACGCTATCTGCATCTCCTGCTGCTGCGGAGTTTCTGAATTTTCCTCTCAAACCACTTTTTGATCGTGCTATGTTGTCTGCAGAGTTGCCCCTCGCTTTTCCTGCTCCTCCTCTTGCAGAATTTCCGGAACGGCTTCTTTGCCCTGCACTTGTTTCTCCTCCTGCTGCTCCCGAGGTGTCAAACTGGCTTCTTGACAAGCCACTGCTTCCTCCTCCTGAGTTGTCTCCAGAGTTGCCCCTCGCTTTTCCTGCTCCTCCTCTTGCAGCATTTCCGAAACGGCTTCTTTGCCCTGCACCTGTTTCTCTTCCTGCTGCTCCTAAGGCTTCAAATCGGTTTTTTGACAAGCCACTGCTTTCTCCTCCTAGGCTATTCGCGGAGCTACCTCCTCTTGCAAGATTTCCGGAACGGCCTCTTTGCCCCATAATTCCTGCTCCTCCTGCTTCTCCTGCTGGGTTCCAAGAGTTTCTTGTCGAACCAACGCCTCCTCCTAGCATGTTTGCAGAGCTGCTTCTCGCTTCATCTCCTAGTCCTCCTCTTGCAGAATTTCCGGAACGGCTTCTTTGCCCTGCACTTGTTCTTCCTCCTGCTGCTCCTAAGTTTTCAAACTGGTTTCTTGAGAAGCCATTGCGTTCTCCTCCTAGGGTGTTCGCGGAGCTACCTCCTGCTGCGCTTCCTGTTCCTCCTCTTGCAAGATTTCCGGAACGGCCTCTTTGCTTCATAATTTCTGCTCCTCCTGCTTCTGCTGCTGAGCTCCAAGAGTTCCTTGTCGAACCAACGCCTCCTCCTAGCATATTTGCAGAGCTGCTTCCCGCTTCATCTCCTAATCCTCCTCTTGCAGAATTTCCGGAACGGCTTCTTTGCCCTGCACCTTTTTCTCCTCCTCCTGTTCCTAAGTTTCCAAAATGGTTTCTTGACAATCCACTGCTTCCTCCTCCCAGGATGTTCGCGGAGCCACCTTCTGCTGCGCTTCCTGTTCCTCCTCTTGCAAAATTTTCAGAACGGCTTCTTTGCCCTATACTTCCTGCTCCTCCTGCTCCTGCTGCTGAGTTTTCAGAATTTTTTCTTGAAACACTACTTCCTCCCGGCATGTTCGAGGAACGGCTCCCCGCTGTATTGCCTCCTTCTCGCTCTGCAAAATTTTCTGGACGGACTTTCTCCTCTACGCTTCCTATACCACTTCCTGCTGCTCCTAAATCTGCGAAGTGGCCGCTTGACAAATCATTATTTCTTCCTCCTAGGGCGTTCGTGGAGCTACCCCTTGCTGTACTCTCTACCCCTCTATTGAAGAAGTTTCCAGAACTGCCGCCATTATCGCCTTGTGCTTTCACTTTTTGTGATAAGCGTTGTTGTTGCCATTGGGAAGATTGCTCCGGAACGAATCTGAAAATCAACAGAATTTCCACTGATGAAGAAAACAATGTTTTTTTTAATGTGTTTTAAACAGATTATTTGCAAAAAGCACTCAGAATAACGCATATTTACCGTCATTATGCAATACCGTATGTTCTGGTAGCATAAAGGTAGCAAAAGCTTAGTACGGTTAGATACTCTAAGGATACCATGCCTAGAGCTTTCCCTGTTTTCTTCTCCCCACTTCCTCTCATTTCTCTCATGTGCATTGAGAAGGGGGGGGGGAAGATTGAAGAAAGATGGATTAGGATGACGTACCCTGATGTGTAGCACAACTACTTATACTTTTTTTAGTATGTAAAGTTTTTGCAAATAGGCGTAACGAATTATAAATTGCCCGTCTCCGTAGTGTAACAATAGCAAATGTGAAGAATCAACGTTTTTCAAAATTCCGTCAAAGTTTTACAATCATCACATTCTGATCTTGGTCAGTGAAATTGTAATTCTAGGAATGTAAGACCTCAAAAAAAATCTAAAAAATGTTTGTTGATAACTTGGTTGAAAAGCAAGATGCACGATTGGAGCAAAGCACGTTTCATTTCGTTTTCTCGCAGGCTATTTACAAAAACAAGCACCTAATTTTGAGGCCTGCTCAATAACTTACAGAGCTTTACACTTAAAAATTCTAATGAAACTTATATGGACCCATACTTATTTTTTACCATTTGTATGCAGCAGATTTTAGAATATAAAGAAAGAATTTTTCAAACAACGTGGGTTATTCGCCACAAAACAGTCACGACAAAATGGACGTAATTTAACTTTATGCGTAGCTGCCAGGGCTCGGCACGAGCTGGCACCAGGGAATTTTGAAAACGAAGTCCCCTTTGAAATTTGCCAATTTTTACGAAGTCCCCCTTGACTTTTGGGAAATTTTACGAAGTCCCCTTTGATCCTCAACGATATCCCCCCTAAAATCCTAAAAAAATCCCCAAAATCCCCCAAAAAACGAAACGTCGACTAAAAAAAAAAAAAAAAAAAAAAAAAGGTCGCCGCCGCCAATTTTCCGTATGTCTTCGCCCACAAAAACGAAACCCCCTTTGCTTTTTGCCCCAAAAACGATATCCAGCTTGCCCCGTTCCAGCTGGTGCCAGGCCCTGGTAGCTGCTCCATATTCACAACAAAAATTTTTTTTGAAATGCACGCCACTCAAATTTCTTCAGCCCTAACGCACAATTGAATAAACATATAGAAAATCACTAGTGCATAATTGAACTGAAATGGCCTTACCTTGTGCTTTCTTGAGTGTCCCACCTCGAATGACCGCTTCTAGAGTTTGAAGCGAGGTTTTGGGGAGATAAGCCGCCATTGCCAGAGCTTAGCATGTTATCTGCATTAAAGTTGTTTCCAGGCTGAAGCGCTCTATTAGAGCTTGGCAAAGTATTGAGGCTTCCCCTGTAGCCTAGTCCAGAATAATAACCTCTGCCAAAGCCCAATCCAAGGCCTCTTCCAAGATTCCCATAGTGATTTCCAAACTCTTGTGAAGAGCTTCTTGGGAGTCCTGTAATATGGCTGTAGAAAATTCTTTGGTAACTCACTTTCTGGCAAACCTTTCTAACCTTGTGCAGAAGAACGGCCTCCACTTTGGTCCATAACACGGAACTGTGAATTTTGATATTGACCACCACGGTAACCTAGTTCTTGTTGATGTCCCATATGGTTGACTCCAGTATTACCAACCCATCTGTAGCCTGGATTTCTTCCCGGTTGGTGGTAGCTTTGCTGAAAGCTTCTCCTAGCTCCTCCAGAAAACTGAAACCTTTCTTGCGTTCTCTGGTAGGTTTGTTGATAGCCTATTCCACGCGGAGGTTGATAGCCTCTCAAAGCTTTTTGGTACTTTGGATCAAACCCTCTACCGATATTTCTATGCGAGGGTTGAAAGCCTCTTGGAATTCCTCCTTGCCTAGGCTGAAAACTTCTCCCAATTCCTCCATGCATCCCTCTACCGAAATTTCCTCGATGACCGGTGAAAACTCGGTTGTGAACCCCTCCAAACACTCTCCGTCTGGGGTATCCCAAGAACAGCCTTCGATGCCGATTGAATGCAGCTTCACATAAGAGAAGTACTTCTATAAAGGAGAATAAAATGCTTTACTTTAAAGAGGTGCTTAGAACTGTTGGAGGAAAAACTGACCTAGTAAAAAGAACGATAAAACGGAGGATGGGAGCAGCAGCATTAATTTGAGCACTGTAAGGCGCGCATGAAGCGTTTGTGATGTCGCGACTGGTATTTCTATATATGAACATGTGCGAGCATCGGTGCTGGGTAAAGAACGCTCAGAGAAACCACAGAAAAAGTAGTTCGGCAAAGATTTACTACGGCCAGCATGTCAGATTGAGACATCTCCTGTATTTGCTGATTTGATTAACATGAGCATACTATATAATAGTATATACCGACACGAGTTGAAAATTACTCACACGAGTTAAAAATTACTCTAGTACCGTACGTTAACTTCTCGGTTATCGTGCTAGGTGTGACCTTTTTCGCAGATCTGATTCATTATGCAGATGTTGAGGAATATGCCACTTATAGCTGAGTAGCTCCACTCGCCTATACTGTAGTTGCACCTTTTTCTAAGTCCCTCAAAAACACCTTTGAGATAACCTAAAACTGCTGCTTGCAAAACTAAGCATTCACGTGTCTCCACCTCAAAACTGCGGATTCACATGTCTCCTTTATCTAATTCACTCTTTCCTTTTATAGTCTGCTCTCTCTCCCATTCATAAACCGTTTTTGAAGAACTCAACCGCGTCGCAGACTGCGCATTACGGCAGTACACATGTTTCACTCCATTTTTATGAACTAGGTGTAAATGCGCCAGTTTTACGAGCAAATAAAAATTCATGATTTTCTGATACCAGACAGCCGACCACTGTTAAAGGGTTGTGCAATTAAAATCATTTGTTATTTACTGAATACAGTCCTGAAAATGCTCACAATGCTTCATTTATCATCGATATGGTAGAATCAAAAATAATCGAATGTAGCCTATTTCGATACTATCAGGCTGGAAAAGTATTACATTGGAGTCGTTGTAACCCGTAGTTTCCTTCAGGTTTGATGAATCCGTTCAACATGGTAAAAAGAAAAAGAAAGAACGCATCTTCTAAAGAGTTTGAACGGAAATGTTGGTGACATTCTGTAAGCTGATTAAGCTTTTGAAGAGAAACACGCAAATGTATATCCAGAAACTTTGACAGCCATTATTTTGAGCAGCTATAATTTTTAGACTTGACAACATAATTATAGTGTTGAAGATTTAGGAGGCATAAGCCAGTTTAGTAAATTTCGAAAAATTTCTTGCTATCGTAAGGATTTTTTCTCTAGATTGTACAAGCAAAATACTTGGACCAGATCTGCAGTGACGAATGGAAAAACATATTACACTCAATAAATATAATGCAAATTGTGCTAGGCCCCGAACAGACTTCACGCGATTTGATCGTCGCGACTCAATCGCCGACATTTCCATTCATTTTCATTTCACATTCAAAAATTTCGGGCTGGAAAAGTATCACAACCGAAATGCAAGTTGATCGGCATGGAATGATGTTGTAACAGTTTCTCGTCGCGACTGAATCGCGACGATCAAATCGCGTGAAGTCTGTCCGGGGCCCTACGAGGTTTCATCACTTATCGTCACTTCCATCTGCACTTTAGCTCTTTGCCCTGGTTGCATGGATGCGTAAATGGTAATGGTATGGTAACGTCCTTTTTTTGATGTTCTATATGTTTTGATAGCTCTGTCGAAAATCAGATTAACTGTTCGGTCGGTCCTCCTTTTGAAAGAGTTAAGATGGAGATGTTTTTATATGATTAGAAGATGTGATTGATGATAGAATATGTGATCAGCAGCGACAGCCAAACAACGGTGATTCATACCTTTGTATTTCTTCCCTCCAAACTATTCACTGTTCAACGGAAAGTACAGTCATGCGGTATCTTTGCAGAAGATGAATTCAGTACAAATGAAAAATGTTATCCACAATCTATTTCGAAACCCTTGTTCACACTTCGCTTTTCAAATAATTTCTGAGAGAGTTGGTTTCTTATTCTATTTTCATCCAATTCAGAAATCCGGGAGTTTCCAGAGAACAGCATTTTTAGCTCATGAGAAAACTATACACGATTACTGCTTACACAACAACATACCTGGTGTTTCCAAAACCGATTTTTATATTGACTCAAGAACTTATGCACCATCTCCATGAAGTTCACGAACAGTCTCACCTTGAGAGTAGAGACACTGCGGATTGGCATATTAGGAGCTTTTATTCAGCTCTTGAATCTTACTTTGCGCCTAAATCCGTACTTCGGCGCTTTCAAGAGTATATCAATCGCTTTATGGAAGAAGTTTATGAATGTGCCTTATACTGCTTGGCAGTAACAGTTGGCCACCTAACAAGGGAATACCACTAACCTTTTCGTAAGAGATGATTGGTCCTGTACAAGATATATCATCATTACAGCGTTGAGACGATTACTGTAACTGCGTCCCAAATTTGCTGAGCGATGAATGGACGAACTTAGAGGGAATCATGTTTGATTGAAGTGGCCTTTTAAAATGAGACGTATTTCATATCAAAAAGCATGAAACGCTAATTCCAAATCCGCCTTCCTCCTCTGCGGAAGTTTATGGACAGGAGTTATGATCTTTTATTAGTGCAAAAAATTACATGAGCAAATAAGACAAGAATTGTCGTTATATTTTTTCTAGCGCTTTGCTACATCAATGATGATTATCACAGCTACTCACTCAATATATACTCTCAAATAAAACAATATATCACACTTGATGCTTTATTTGAGGGCTAAGAAAACTTTAGTAACTCATGTGACCCTCAATTCACATTTAATCTTTGGCTCCAATAAGCGCTCTAACTCCTCGTCTACAAGCATTTGGCAATTAAGTAAAGCAGATTTGCAATCGCGTTTTGAGCTCTTTGATATGGTATACATTCATTTGAAAACGCCACTTCGAGAACATGATTCCCTTGCTAGAAACGATTGTTTGTGATCTCAGTTTGCGCTGACAAGGGAACGGTCAGAGGCATACCTTCGATAGTCTAGAGACAGGGCGTCAAAAGTGAAGGTTGTTCGGACATATGACATCATAAATAGTGAAGGTTGTTTGAAGAAGGTCAGAGAAGAGAAAATGACGTAAAACAGATACAAAAAGCAAAAGAAACTGCTGAAAACCGGATAAAAACGCTGCAAAGAAATTTGAAATCTTTCATTTGGCGGCTTTTCAAAGTGCAAGTTTTCGGATCAGCAATTCGCAACACGGGGTTTTGATTTTTGAGGTCCTTTAAATTTTTACCCCCGCATTGAGTTCCTGTTTCCTGGGACGTTGTCTGGATTATTGCGCTTATTGTTCTGAGCAACAACCACCCAAGCTGGAAAAAAAATCGATGCGAAAGCACTGAAACAGAACAGGGTAAAGAAAAACGCATTTTTTACGATTTTTCGCAAAAAATTCCACCATAATCGAAGAGGTAAGGGCTGGGTGGTTGTCTGCATTATGAACACAAGCAAGATCTATATAATGCACGAGAAAACCGCATGAAAAAAGTTAAACTAGGAGAAAAACAAGAGATTTTCGAAAACAAGGTTTCTGCCGGATTTCTCGTTTAAATAAAAAAATGTGGTTTGGGACGTTGTCAGCGTGAAAATAGAGATCAAGAGCTTCAAAATGATATATAGCTTGCTAAATTTGAATTCGAAACAGCGAAGAAAAGGGTACCAGAGCCAAATGCCCCGCGCCCCGCGTAGGGGGTAGCGAGGTAGCGCGCAGCGCGCGGAGACGCAGACGAGCAGCGGAGCCAGACCAGAGCCGACGGGGCATTTGGCTCTGGTCGTAGATCTCTGCGAGGTCTCAACGAAACCCTGCAACATTATATATCATTCTGATCGTCATGACACGACGAAAAGAACTGACAACCTCTCAATCTTTGAAAATCACTCATTGACGAGATAGACCAGCGTTTTTGTGCGCGACTCTCTGCGCAAGATTTGCGCAGTTTCTCGTTTTTATTTAACTTCAATGACTCTCCTAAATTTCTGGAACTCGATTTTGTTCAAATGAGAGGATAACTGAGAAATTTTGTCCTGAACTCTGGCAAAAATTCCACAGAAACCTTCTTTTTAAGGTAAAAAAGGCTATGAAAACGCAAATCCTCGGTTTCGCTGAGATAAGTGTTTTTTTTTCAGGTGAAGGTTGTGTCCCCTCATAACCCTCAAAGTGAAGCTTACCAGAGTACGGGGCTCTATGTATCGAGGGTATGGTCAGAAGTCGAAGCGGCCAATTCAAGCAAGCTGCATAGCATTGGATGAATAGACCGCTTGAAGGCAGTGGATTGCCAAATCTTAACCTATCAAATTCTCGCTTACCTGAGGTTATCCAATGCGCTCATCCGGAAAATCCACTTTGGAGAGCTTGAAAATGCCGAAAACGAGCGATTTCCAAAGCTTTTCGCTTTGAAACTGGACGGGCACGGCTGAAGACGTCGAATCGTTGCGGGATTCAATGGTTATAGCATTGCGGCGGGCAGCCTTTTCTCTGCCGCGATTGCACTATTTTCATACTTGGGTGATAAGCAACCTACCCTATGTTCCGAATAGAAAATTCCATTTCTGAACGGATCCGGACCAAACTTTGCACCTATACACTTCGGGGCCGGGCGGGTGTCAAAGGCTACTTTAATTCATCGATCGATATCGATTTTATTGATTTTCAGAAAGTTCGTGCAATGGGGCTGGGAGTGGAGTTGGCACAAGGGGGTAAGTGAGCAGCATGCTGATTACGAATATATTATTGACAGGGCTGGGCGGAGCCGGGATGCCAGCTAGTATACTATAAAGCGAATTCGATCGCTTTTCATTACTGTAGAATTATAATAGAAAATTCAAGCATATGGTGTCTCTCTAAAAAGGCTGCTTCAAACATTTTCAAAATGTGAACTTGTTTAAGAGGGTCATGGACTAAGTTCAATACTCAACTATGCACAAGATTGCGAAGCTTTCTTAACAGTGTAACCGCACCTTTTAAGAACATTGAAAAAAACGACGCTATTGCTTACCTCGCATAACTTTCTAATGGGGCGTTGTGATAAGTTAGTTGCGAGCTTCACATTCAGAATCAACACTCTAATTAGTTTATTGTGAGAGTTTTTAGGTCGTTTTGTTTCCTTTTGAGGCAAAATATGGCCTTTCATGGCTCAAAACCGCCTTCAAAGTTCCTATCGTAATCCTACCGTAATAGAAAGCAGTGGTGATCCGCCCTATACTGTAAATCTAACAAGGAAAGGATACTCGGTCACCGTGGCCATTTGGAATGCGATGTATACTGTAAGATGCACCTCGAAACGCTGACTCCAAATCTGTGCTCGATATCTGCGAAACGACCTTCTGAAGTTATGAACTTTTTTTCGTAGAAAATTTGCGTACTTTTGAGTAGTTAAAATCACCAAATTCGGTCTAAGTTACCATTCGAAGCTATTGAAGAGAATCACAAAAGAAATACTGTTGTATTATAACTATCTAAATCATATTCAGCATTTGAAAAAGAAAGAAGATTTTTATTGATAATTTTGACCTTCAGCAGTAGCGCAATTTATTCATGGAAAAATAATCATAACTCCATCCAGATTATCGTTTCGCAGATATGGAAGACAGTATTCGAACCAGCATTAGAAGGCGCATTTTTGATTCACAAATCATTATGAATGGCCGCGGTGACCAAGTATCCTTCCCTTGTAAGTTGAAGCCAACTCTACAGAGCGGTACCTGAAGCTTCTCGGAAGTTCTCATTAAAAGAGAGTTACTAACAATCAAACAGTAGGCACATCTTTTTGGGACCCCTGTATATCAGTCTGCAGGGTATTGTAGATGGCTGAGTGTTAGAAGGCAAATTTGCTTACAGCGTTAGCGTATTTCGCACCTAGGAGTGGCAAAATCACGTCCAATTTAATAGAGGAATCAACACGCCTTGAACTAATGCTGCACATGCGCATATACGGCTTAAGGGTTGATTCAAATTTTACTGAAGCCTAATCTAAGTTCAGGAATATCAAGTTGAGAGCCTACGTTCGTACTTTTGAGGTAACTTTAATGAGCTCTGTCACCCGTTTCGTTTAGGAAATACAATGATACTTCGAAGGAAGTTGCAAGACAGTGTGGCAGTGCCAACGGCGTGTGATTCGCAACTATTATCTACTTTAATTTCCAAAAGAAATATTTGTATGCAATAAAATGTTTACCATGCGACATAGATGTGTTTGGCTACCATTTGAAATCAAGATCCCGTTGTCTATCTTACAAAATACACAGGTAGGCTTTTCAGTTGACAAAATCCAAAAATTAGGAAATCATTTAGAATTTATAAGGGAAGGGTACTTGTTGACCGTGGCCATTCGTAATGATTTGTACATCAAAAAATGCGCATTAATGCTGGTTTGAATACTATTTTCCATATCTGCGAAACGATAACCTGGATGGAGTTATGATTTTTTTTTATTACGAATTGCGCTATTACGGAGGGTCAAAATTATCAATAGAAAATTTTCTTTGCTTTTCAAATGCTGATTATGATTTAATCTTATATATAAAGCTGAATGTCTGTTTGTCTGTCTGTCTGTCTGTATGTCTATCTGTATGTCTGTACGTATGTTCCGAATAGAAAATTTCATTTCTGAACCGATCCAGACCAAACTTGGCACACATACACTTCGGGCCCCGACGGGTGTCATAGGCTACTTTTCGTCATCGATCGATATCGATTTTATCGATTTTTTGCAAAATTTGAGCTACGGGACTGGGAGTTGGTACAGGGGGGTAATCGAGCATGCTGATTACGAATAAAATAATGACAGGGCCGGGCGGAGCCGGGTAAGCCATCTAGTTAAGTATATTACAACAGTATTCCTTTTAAGATTTCCTTCAATAGCTTCAAACAGTAAAAGTACGCAAATTTTCTGCGAAAAAAAAGATCATAACTTTCTTCAGAAGATCGTTTCGCAAATATCGAGCACAGATTTAGAACCAGCGTTTCGAGATGCATCTTACGGTACACATCTGATTTCAAATGGCCACGATCACCGCGCATCCTTTCCTTGTTAGATATAAGCTTATTTGACATGATCACAACATACGCGCCTGCGTATTCACAAGCACCCTTAGCACATAAAGTCTAACCTAACAGATCTAAAATGATTTTATTTTACAGCTGTTCAAAATGGGATCTTTGGCTTTTTCAGCAACACATTATCAAACGCAGGCTTTATGTGGTTCTTACAATATCAAGTATCTTGACAAGATTGAGAAAGATTGAGAGAATCCTATGACTATTGAGTCCGCAATGAGACCAGTTTCAAAGCGAACTGTTTTCCATAAAAATTAGCCTCCGCGAGCCACACATCTGTTGTACTGGTACGAGACCCCACCAGGACACTCGCACTTGAAGACTGGCGAGCCGTTCGGAGCTGTGTACGCGAATGTCGCAACTGCAATGTTCAATGAGAAGTTTCGGTGAATGAAAAAGGATGATAAAGGAAAAAGGATAAAGGTTAACGCACCGCATTCTGACTTTGTATTTTGTGTAATTTTTGCCTCCTGCACGTCCTGCGACTGCAACACACCTTCACTCAAGACCGATGCACCCACGCCTGCCATATCCGCCGCTCCCGAAAGCATTCCTCCTTCAAAAACTCTCATAAAGCACAGTCGCATTTCAAGCGAACTAGTGAACAAACCTACTATACTGTATGCCATATAGTCATCGTAAAAATCGTCGTTAAATCCTGAATGGCTTTGTTTGATCTTAAATGTTGATGAATGCAAAATTGTATCAGTAAAGAGGCTGTGTTAAGTCTAATAGTCTTGCTTTATAACCAAATACTGATGTTAAGTCCCAGATGCTGCTATTTAATTACACGTTAAGCGAACTTGAAACTTATATCTACTGGCCTGCGTCATGCCTCCATTATCAGGTCGCTTTGGAGTGGCGGCGGAGTGGAGAGGGAAAGGCCCTAATCAAGGCATTGTCAAAACTAAAAGATACACTTGCCTCTGAGGAATTCCATTCCCTACGAAACCTCGCAAATGCCAACTAACAATAAGAAAAGACCAATGCATTTTTTGAGTATCACTTCTTCAATGTCCTTTTGCTCAAAAATAAACTTTCAATTTTGATTAGCGCGCTTACTATTAGGGTGAACGGTAAAAAATGGGACACCTACGAAATAACTGGAGGTTTCTCAAGAATGAGAAGCGATTAGATATTCCAGTTTTGATAGATGTTAGAATATTTTATTCTCTTTCAGATAATACCTATATAAGGTCATTTACATAATTAATAATTTTTATACTTGCTGAAATGTAGAGTTAATCACCTCGACAAATTATGAACTTTGAGCAGTATCTGCGCAGTGAAACATGTGAGACCACCCAAAGTACCGCTGCTGGAGTGGATGGTGGGACAGTCACCAAACCCACGACGGCTTGGTGGCCTCAACTTCCAAAGTCAGGAGATATGGCCATTAGCAGCTACGAAAACGAAGATACGTGTTATCCAATTCCTTCCAGGTGAACGCATGTTTTCTAGGTACCATCTGATAGAGCTTTTTACGCTCTGTCTATCCATGTGCAGCTTGCCTCAGATTTTGTCCATTTTCGGAAAATATAGGGCAAAACATAATTTTTTGGTTCTTATTGCGCCAAAAATAGCTATTTTTCATGTTTTTTCGCAATTTTTCCTGAAATTGAAAAGGAATCTTAGGCATTTAACATATCGTTTGAAAGAGCATGAAAAGCTCTTTCGAATGGTATGTCATTTGCTTCACGACTTTACGGTATAGCAGTGCAAGATTGAGAATTGTTCAAAAAATCCCGTCGGAGTTCTTCACGACGCCACGCGTACGGTCATGAGAGAGGAGCGGTAACGCGTTGCCAGAATAATAGGCGAAGGTCGGTTATGTAAGCGACGTTTGAGTTGCAGTCTGCTTGTTATTGGTGAGGACAAAAAATCTTAAAATGTAATAAAAATCAAGCTGTCCCATTTTTTACCGTTCACCCTAATAGGTTGCTGCATAAGTTCTGTTCCCCTTGCAACTTCCAAGTACAATAGCACAACTTTTTCCAATTGCAATTTGATAAACCTGATTGTTAAATTGAGCAGGCATTTGGCCATTAGCTGGTCACTATTGCGGAGAACTCAAAAAGCACGAATTTTGCTTTTACGAATTTTTCACTGTTTTCTTCAAACCTGTTTTTAACAACTGATGCTCATTTACAGGGACAAGTGGCCATAATATCATCAACGAATCCTGAGGGTGAACCTTACCCTCAAACGTAGGTTTTACTCTCAAAGCTTCATTGCCCGTATTCATCAACGAACCCTTGAGGACATGGTGGGTTCACTCCAGAAAATAATTAGCCCGTATCGACCAATGAAGCTTGAGGGTAAATCCTACCCTTGGGGGTAAATAAACCTTATCCCAAAGAGCGATTAAACCGTATTCACGAACGTGGCTCATCATCAGGGTAAATTTGACCCTAGAATAGAGCAGGATTAGATTCACTCTGACACTTCGTACAAATATCAAGTGATCTCTCGATGCACTGCTCAGTCCTAGCAATACTGTTTTGACAACAAATACATGTTCATTGTTACTATAAGTAGAGTTTCTATGGCCTCTTTTCGTGTTTTCGTTTGATGTTATCATCTGCTATTAATTTCGCCCGAATTGTCATAGTAAAAGATTCAGTTTGTTGGATGGCGCGGATCACCGATCTACCAATCATTACTGGCGGGGAAGGAGCAGGGTATAAATACAGGTGGATTAGGGGTCAGAGCGTGAAGAGAGCACTCCAAGGAGTTAGAAGAGCCGTCGATAAGAGGCGAACCTCTCCCTTAGATAGAGATAGACTAGAGACCCTGCTGAGACGGCGAATTTAAAACCCCGTCATTGTACATAGCGTTCTGTTCTTGTTGTTGTTAGTTTTGTGCCATAAGGATAAATTCTTGTACTCAAACCCGTGTTCCTTCATCGATCAAGTTTTACCGGGACTTACCACTAGACCACCCCCCGCTAAAAGTGAATAGAGTACATGCCCAACTAAAGACTTTGATATGGCAAACATAAAGCTCAACCTCGAAAAATATTTATTATGGAAATTCCTCATTCAGATTTTATTCCACCAATATACTTGTTCAGTAAATGATTTGATACATAACCACATTATCGTAGCTCAATCAGATGCACTTGAAGTTGGCCAAGAAAATGCAAAAAAAATTACCCTAGTTTTCGCAGTATGATTGATCGAATGAAAAAAAAGACTTGGGAAATCGAAATAATGATAATTAGAAATATGTTCTTGTTGTGAAAACAGTATCGTCAAGACTGAGTGGTGCACTAAAAGATAATCTGTGTTGGTACGAAGTGTCAGGGTAAATTTAAACCTGATTCTATGCTAAGAGTAAATTTACCACGATGAGCCAAGTCCTCAGGTAGGATTTATTACTAGAATTTTTAATGAATACGAATTAATCACTTTCCGGGTAAGATTTACCCTCAAAGGTAGGTCTAAGGTTAAGGCTACCCTGTGCTTCGTAAATACGGTTCTATGCTTTTTGGAGTAGAACTTACTCCCAAGAGTGACGCTTACGGGTTCGTTGATGAATGCGGCCAAAGGTGTATCTGTTGATTTTTATTGATCATGTACCAAAAAAGCGAGAACAAGTGCAAACGCATCAAAGGCAAATTTCTTTTAGAACAGCTGCTTCGAACGCAAAGCGGCAAAAATTGGACACAACTTTACAGCAACCTAGTAAATGCAAAATACAGCAATGAAGTTTTTTCAACTCTTTTAACATTTTCTCCCTTTATTTTAAACCAAGTAGATTTTGCGAAATCAGCAGAAACCCAGTAAGGCAGAACTTGGCCTTGGGGAACAAATTATGCAAAGCTGAATTTTCTTGCACGAATGCTTGAGTGGGTGTATGAAGTGTGGTATCATTATTACACAGTCTTATACCTAGCACTCAGCACAAACGTGGCAAATGTCGAGCTAATCGTTTTAGCGGTGCTGCCCACTCAAAGATTGCTGCTACTCCTGCTCTGGGT